CAGAACTATGGGCCCTGTAGGTTCTAAGTCCCCTCTGTGGGCATCATTGTAGTGATCACGCCAGCATGCCTTTATACTTGTGGCAGGGTATATTAGGTCCTCTTAATGGGGCGTATACATCGGACTCTACATTTATCTGATATGGTTTTATGTCAGTTATTAGTAGCTCCCTTATAGTTCAGTCAGATTCTGTTGCGTTGACCATGTTATTAGTATAGATTAGTATTCAGTCTCAGCATGTTATAAACTTGGTCATTCCATTCAGTTTAGCCATGTTCAGTACTTTCAGTATCCTTATCATGTTCAGATTATGTTATTGCTTTATTGCTTGTTTAGTTATGTTATTGTTTAGTGTTACTCTCTCCTACATGCTCAGTACCTATCAAGTATTGACACATACTCTACGCTACATCTTCTCGTGATGTAGGTTCAGGTCCTCAGTACTCAGATCACGCATAGATCGATTCCCGGTCTTCAGTTTTGCAGCATCAGTGGTGATTCCTCATTCTACGAGGACTAGTAACATGACTATCTTTATCGTTTTAGCTTTAGTTTCAGTTTTGCTAGATCTAGCTGGGGCATGTCTTAGTATTTCTAGCTAGTAGAGGCTTTATTTCAGACATAGTTAGTTTCAGCTTCAGTCTTAGAGTTTGATTTCTCATTTGTACTCAAACTCACACTTTTCATTTATTCAGATTTAGTATATGGGTATTCCCCATCATATCAGTTTATTATGATTTAGCTTCCGCACAATTTTATTGTCTAGTTTATCTTTAGTATGTGTATGGTTATGCCAGTAGGGTTAGCTTGGGGTCACTCGTGATCCTAGGTCCCGTGTTGCGTTTGATGAGTCATGATTTGGACTCATTTAGGGCTTTATTTGGATATATTTTGTGTCCTTAAAAGCTTATTTTATGCCAATAACTAATGTGAAACCCTTGATTTTCAGGTGTTTGGATCGAAGAACAAAGCATGGACACTAACTTGCAAAAAGGAACGAAGCGAGCTGAAAGAGCGAAAAAATGAAGGCCTGGTGATCGTCGAGTCCCTTTGGTGACTCGCCAAATGGTCATTACCTCGCCTAGAGTTCCAGAGTGCCAAGCCTTGAAGGAGAAAGTCATTTTGGCTATAGAAAGGAGCAGTCAGCGTGTCGTCGAGTGATTCCGCGATGCAGTATTGGATTGCCCAAAGTTACAGAACTTGAGGATTCTGAAGGCCAAAGCAGAAAGGGGATGAACTTGCTCAAAGGGCAGATCGCCGAGTTGATCAGTGATCCCGATTTACTGCGCCGAATGGTCCTTCGCAACATATTTTTGTTGACTATAAATACATTTCTGAATATTTAAGTCTAGAAACAGTTTTCATAATATAAGATTTTTTATTTTTGGAATTGGAACTTTGAGTTTTGATACAAACTTTTCCCTAGCTTTGATGAATTAAAGTTTTCCATTTTTGAGAAATTGGAAATGGGTCTTTGAGATTCTTCAATTTGGAACTTTGTATAGACAAAATGAATCTTACCCAGTTAATGGAAACACAATTTGGTAATGATTTCTCTCTTTTTATGATGTCTAGCTAGAACCCCAATTCTTGGTGTGTGATTATGTGAATGTAGGTTGATTAGCTTATGGGTATTGCTAATTGATAGTTTAAATGATTTTTAGAAGTGATTTCATTCAGTAATTGTGGTCTAATTTAAAGGGTTGTAGTTGCAAATGCAATTCTACCTTCCTCTTTTTGGCTTGCTCGAGATAGAGGTTTTAAAATCAAGATTACTGAATTGATGGTCTATGGGTATTGGGTTGTCATGAGTTCAGCTTGATAGAGTGAATCCTAAATCTTTTTCCACACATTCAGCTCAAGAGAGTGAATGGACTAAAGTGTAGGTTGTTCTTAATTGGTTGCTTGTTGGTGTTCGAGAGAAACAAACTTGATACTGGGTAAATTTTTCGAGAAAAAGTTTATCCCCACTAAAGTCTAGCGTATTCACTGATTTACAGTTATTTACTATAATTTGCAATTACCCATTTATATATATTAGCCTATAATCGAATCACATCCCAAGAACCCGTCTCATTACTTGTTAATTCTTGTTATTCATTATTGTTGTAGTTGATAATTACAATCAAAACCGTCCTGTTATTTGACACTTGTGTCACCCCTTAATTTGAATTATGATTTTATTCATAAATGTTTATTCCTATGATTGACTTAACATATTTGTACTTTGATATTGAATCTTAAACACGTACCAGTCCCTGTGGGATTTAACCCAAACTCATTTAGTTGGGTTATACTACTAACTAACAATCGTTGACGCTTAGAACTGGATGAAGTGTCTTTGAAACATTATTAATCGAAATGGCGCCGCTGCCGAGAAGTGGTGTTGGTTAAGTCTCTTTAGTTAAGTTGAATTTTGTTCTTGTTAATCATAGTTGAACTTACGTACTTTTAGTTTTTGTTTTCGTGTTTCTTGTTTAGCACATAATAAAAGGAATAGATCCTGTAGCAGCGACAAACCAATGGACCACCCTCCTTTGAAAATGATGATGCTTAGGGATAATATCCTAAGTTTTAGTCAATTGGAGGGTGAGTCAGTTTAGGAGTTGTGGCAACGGTTTAAGGCTCTCTTGCAGCAGTGCCCAACTCATGGAATTCCAGAAAAGATGCTTCTGGAATGCTTCTACAGAGGTCTTGGCCCCGAAAATAGAAGCACAACCAATCAACTCTTCTCGGGTTGTTTGATACAATGACCCTATGAAACAGTAGCCCAAATCCTTGATGGCATGATTAAGACCAACAAGGAGACATAAAAAGACCAACAACTGGCCACAATGTTGACTCAGCTAGATGTATGTGCCAAGAAAGTAATGGAATTGTAGGTAGTGTCCAAAAAGAAGGACATGTACATTCCCCCTCACCAGCATCGAAGGATGAAGAAGCAAGAGGGTGGGAAAATTCAAGAGGTCCTCTCACTCATTCAACACAAAGTTAAAGAGCACAACAGAGTGTTGAAGGAGATAAGAGAGAATGTCTTGATGCTAAATCAGATGACAACCTCTCATTCCATGTTCATTTAGCTACTAGAGTCCCAAATGGACCAAGTGCTATCTTGTCTTTACCCATATCTGGAATAGGGGTTACCCCGTGAAAATGAGGCAAACCCCACAAATGGAAATTAAGTGGGGACTTGCATCGTGCCACAACATTAACTAATGTGCTTCTTGGTAGGCAACCGAAGAGTTTATTGCTTTATTTTTCTTTTAGAAATAATCATGTGTTGATTTTATAGGTTGAAGTGTGGCATGTGTTGGAAATGTGCAGATTGGCTAGTTATAGTCCAGTTGACGACTCGCCGAAGAGACTTTGGCAAACCCGATTTAGACCACCATTGGAATCAAGGAACCCTAGGACGAATATGCCAAAGACTGAGACTCTTCTACAACAGGAAAGCAGGTTTTGGATGAAAACCCAAAGGAACTTTCCTATTTCATTTTTTTTTATGTACCACACAAACCACGTCACTTTGTAGGTTATTCTCTCCTTGATCTAACACTTTTTATTTTCATTGACCTGACACAACTTTGTTATTTTAATATTTTTATGAGTTAGGAAAAGTAATTGGCCTTGCTTTAATAAACCATTAATCTTATGTAATATTTCTCATGCATGCCTATGCAATTGTTCTTTTAGAAAAAGTGGTAAATCTATTAGTTAAATTTCACGAGATAGAATCTAACACAAATGTTTGCTTTTTGTCTTCAATATTGATCTGTCCTTTTTCTAAGCATACAACACTGATATAAAATGAAATGACTGATTTTTCATAGGTAGTTAATGTTTTTTTTTTGGTAACTGTAAATCTTATTTACTAGAGAGGTCAATATGTACAAATGTGGAATTCTGAATATGGACAATTTCCATTCTCAAATCCCATCTATTCAAACTATCCACTACTAGCTTCTATTCTAAGGGTAAAAATCATATCTATGCATGCCATCCATAATTCGAGGATTCATACTAGCTCTAAAATGTATTTAATTTCCTGTATGATTGTTCTTCTGATCGCCTCTATGGTCCTTTCTTTGTGTTTAAAGATTCTGTAATTTCTCTCCTGCCAGGTGTGATACACTGATGCTGCTAGAGCCATTCTGTACACTTATGCCTATTGTGTTTTATTGCTTGCATATTATGTGGCCCAATTCAACTCTTCATTCCATCCACTGTTAATCCTCTATATTGAAAACCAGCTTAAGATCTGATGCCATATCTTTCTTGATAAAGGACACTCAAAAAGAGGTACTGGTGTGTCTTAGGTGCTGTATTACATAGTTAACATGTTAGGTCTGTAATAACCCCCCATTTTTCCAACCTATATTTAGTATAGAGTCTTTGTTGTATTGCCAAGTATAATTCAAAGATCCATGTAGGCCACCCTTGATTGTTGCTAGTCAGTCTTTTCAATAGGGATTTGTTGTATTCTCCTCTCAATTCTTTATACATTACTTTGATGTTAAATTCATCAGCCTCCATGATTTCATTCGTTTGCATATTCTTCTCTTCAAGCCAATTCCCTGCATAGAGTATTTTCTTAACAATCCACGAATCTTTATTTGCTATTACCTCCCAAGGTTTTCTGCCTTTTAGGTTTTAAGTGTGGACCCATAGTATCCATAGCTTATCTTTCTTCTTGGGTAGGTTCCACATATTCTTTAAATTTGCGGCTTTCTTACATACACGAATATCGGCAATATTAAGCCTCCATCCACTTTTGCCCTACAAATTGTGTCCCGTGCTACAAGGGCCTTCCTTTTACTTTGTGTTTCACAATTCCATAGGAACCTTTTACACATTGATTGTATTTTGTGAATTATTTTTTAGGTAACATAAAGATATGAGTCTAGAATGTTTGCATAGTTGTTAAAACAGATTTCACTAGTTATAGCCGCTCTGCATAGGACAGGAACTGAGTTGTCCAAGTTGTGATTCTCCCCATCATCTTAACTATGAGTGGCTGACATTGTCCTACTGACAACTTCTTTGTAATCAGAGGTATTCCCAGATATCTGAATGGAAGGACTACACTTGTGAATCCTATCTAATGTAGAATTGCTTGTTGAGTATTTTCTGACACTCCACCAAAGTATATACAACTCTTTGTCTGGTTTACGTTAAGTCCATACACACTTGAGAATTCCTTGAAACATTCATACAATTTAGTAGCTGATGCTAAGTCTCCCTTGTTAAACATCAACAGATCATCAGCAAAATTGAGTTGTATGATGTGCTGTTTTAGGCATCTACGGTGGAACTTAAAATTTGAATGAGTTATCAGCTTCTTCAGTAGCCTAGTGACGTAATCCATAACAAGGACAAACAAATAAAGAGATAAAGGGTCCCCTTGCCTCAACCCCCTATTTTCCTGGAAAGTAGGACGAGGACAACCATTAATCATGATAGAGTAGGAAACTATTTTGACAGAATCATTATCCATGAGACAAAATTGTGAGGAATCTTCATACTTATTAATACCTCCTCCAGGAAATGCCATTACACTGCGTCATAGGCCTTTTGCATTTCAATCTTGAACATACATCTTGGTGAGATGCCTTTTCTTCCATACCATTTAACCAAATAATGGCTAAGAACCACATTGTCCGTCAAACCTCTTCTAGGAACAAAAGCAACCTGACTTGGATAAACTAGGTACTCCATCAAACTTTTCAGTCTATGTGTAAGGATCATTGATATGAGCTTATATAATATAGTACAAGATCAAATGGACATGTATTCGTATATTTAGGTAGGGTGAGCCACTTTAGGAATTAGAGTAACAGAGGTTCTCCTAATAGGAACGTACATTTCTCCTATTTGAAGAAAACCTATAACAGCAGTAGTTACCTCCTCACCTATGACTGACCATGCTTGTTTGAAAAAATATGAGTTAAAATCCATCTTCTGCTGCTTCCTTAGAGTCCCCAATGCTTTTAAGTGCTTCTTTAACATCTTCTCCTGTGAATGTCATGTTTAGAGGCAATTGATGCTCTCTTGTATGTACTAGACATGCCTGTAACACTTCTGGTTTTGTGGATGGCATGTGACTTGTTCTTTGGCCTAGAAGACTTTTATAAAACCCCACAACTTCCATTGTGATCTCAGTTGCATCTCTAGTAGTAGTACCATCCTTACTTATCAACATTTGTATTTGGTTTTGGGCCTTTCTACCTGTCATACTAGCAAACAAGTATGCTATGTTTGCATCTCCTAGTTTGAGCCATTGAATCCTTGACTTTTTCTTGTAAATTTTCTCCTCAATTAGATTCCATTTTACCAGCATCTTCCTTAGTTTTTTCTCCTCATCCATCATGCTTTGGGATATTAACGCTATTCTCATGTTACTTTGTTTCTCTATGAGCTCTCTCCTAAGTTGTTAAGCTCTCCCAGCAACACCCATGAACTCAGCCTTATTTAGTTTTTGCATCTCTATTTTCATCCTTTTTAAGTTCCTTTCATTCCTCCAACTTGTATTATCCAACTCTTCTGCACCCTCATACTAAATTTTATGTGTTGCCCAATGCAGTTGTAGAACCTTAAAGGTCTCCTCTTTTTGTCTCTTTGTTCCTCCATTAACAAACCTAAAGGGGAGAGGTTTGACAATAAAGGATCCATAGCCATGGCCTGGTAGATAGGCATCTTATTAATTGATGTTGCATAAACTATGACTCTATTTATTCTACTAAATACATATCCATTTAAAGTTCCTTCCTCCTGTTTGCAGCTCATATAGATTACATTCAATCAAGAACTCTTTGAAATCCCTTGTTTCTACCTCCAGCACTTGACTTCCAATAAATCTATCCTCTTGTGTTAATATAGAGTTGAAGTCCCCCATAATCACCTATGGATCCTTGATGTTGTTGTTAAGTTGTTATAGTGTTGTCCATAATGGTATTCTATTTACTATAGTATATAGTTGTCAAGATATAAGTGTACCCCTTAGATGTATCAAGGCGCACAAGACCCTGGAGGCCTCACACAAGCCCCTTAGCATATCATAGCATAAGATAATAGAAATGAGCGGAAATTTTAAATATGTTTCATAGCATAAAAGTTTCATAAAACGAAGCGGAAGTCTATTACACCTGTCTCAAACCATCTAAACCATGAATATATTTGGGACACAAGCCATACAATACTTCTAATTATAAAATGAAAGACACAAAGACATGGTGGTTAAGCACTCGAATGCTATAAGGACTCACCAAAACTTTTCTTCTTTCTCTACTATTAACCTAGCCACGAGGATGGAAATCAATATCGCCGGGTCCTACATTTGATAAGAATGTAGGCAAAAGTATGTGTTAGTACATATATGTACTGAATATGATGGCTAGCATAAATCATCCACACAGGAATAACGTAAGCGTTAGTCAACATAAGACCTAGGCTATAAGCATAAGCGTTAACAACATAAGTCATGAGCATATATAGTCAATGTACATAAGTCATCATAACATGAGAAATACTCCAAAAAGTAACCGCAAGTCATACTTAGCTAAGACATGCATAATCTTTCACTAATCATACTCATTAATGTAGGCAACCTTAGGCCATCACTCAAAATCATCATCTATCATTCTCATCTTTAACTTACCTTTTATAGACATAGGGATTCACCTCTATCCATACATCTCATGGAAGTCCATTCTAGCAATAATCCAAACATTTCATTCATCATGACAAGATTCACATGACTCTTGCTTTACTTTCAAGACATAGGGACTCACCTCTCTGTGCCTATTTTAAAGGCTAATGGGTATTCACCTCTTGCCTTACTTGTATAGTCATATGTATTCGCCTCTATGACAATTTTAGAGAATCATATGTAATCACCTCCATGCCACACCATCATATGATATAGGTATTCGCCTTGACATTACAAGGATCATAGGTATTCGCCTCCATGTCGAACATGCTATGATATAGGTATTCGCCTACACATCATTTTAAAGGATCGTAGGTATTCACCTCCATGACAAACAATAAAGGCTGATGGGTAATCACCTCTTGCCTTATTTTAGGAGTTATAGATTAAGGGTAGTCACCTCACACTCCTTATCACACGACATGGGTAATCACCTCATGTTTATCATCTGTTGTTTACTAACTTAGGAATATGGAAGCTCACCTTACATCCTTCACATATAAAGGTCTTGGGGAATAATCTCAAGCCTCATGCCATATTATAGTCCTTTTAGTTACTCATGAAAGGACGCCATTTGCCTACCGATTCAAGGTACATTATAAACTTAACTCTTTAGACCATGCGTGAGCAACTATCATGATCCATGATCTATTGATAATGGTTCTTTAGCCTTTGATTCAATTAGGTTAGAAAGCCTTTCAATCTAGAATCATTCTATGTGAGAAAACCTTTTACATCATGTTCATTATGTGTTCATGAGAGTAGCCTTTCAATCAACACAACAACAATATCATAATCACTAACACTGTACTCTCAAAGTGTTCTTAAAGCATTTACATAGGGTTTATAAGAATATGCATAATCTCATACATTCATAACATAGGTCAATCTGGGTATCTTTGTCCACAACAATCCTATCTACTATTCAACAACATATAATCTTCACTCTCAAGCCAACATTCAGAGTACATCATATTAGCTTTACTCTCAAACCCCTAGAAATCAACATTCAGAACTACAAGCCTTACTCTCAAATCAATACTTCTCATAATCATTACATACGCCTAGATCTGAAGACATTCTAATCATACTTCACCATATGGCCCAAAGCTCAAGCATTACTAATCATGATTCCTCATACATACATTAATCACATTCAGTGTATGTCTATATGCTTAGGTATCAAGAGATCTTCAATGTATTTCATCAATTCTAGAAGATTACCTCAACTCCTCAATTTCTCCTTTCATGGTATAAAACCAATTTTCATCAATTTCGTCATTAAAGACAAGGGCTAGGCATGTGTACTTTTAAATTCACACTAATATCATTGAATCTACTCAATTCAAGCATAAACAATCATAATCCACTCAATTGGATCAACATTCAACAATACCCACAACATTGGAAGAAACCCTAATTGAGATTGGGAAATTCTTCTTCTAAATTGGGGAAAACATGGGGGCTCCATGGATGAAACGATTCCATGGATGAATATGCCATCATACCTTGATTACAAATCCCATAAATTCTTGAGGAATGGAGACTTGATCTTGACCCTAGCTCCAACTCTTTCTTCTTCAAGTTCCAGAGAGAAATATTTGAGAGGATGTGCTTTGGGATTATTTTGGGGTTTTGGAAATAATATCTTGACTGGTGAGTTTCAAGGGTTAACATCACTCATATAGGTGTAGTAGGCCTATAAAAAACGAACTCACTTTATTCAAACTTAAACTGGAATTTACCAAAATAGCCTTCACTAAGAAGCCTAGTGCCCAAGTCTCACGGCAGGTACCACGAGCCGTGGTCCTCACCCCTGGTCCTCACCCCTGGTCATGGTCTTGCTCGTGGTCCTTGGACTACTAGCTAGTCCACCTTGCGTTGGCCTCCAATAAATGAAGGCATCACCACTGGCCGTGGTCTTCACCGCCGACCGGGAAGTGGCTTGTAAAGGTGAGCCAACATTGGGCAGCCCATGTGGAGCTACAACCTAGCGACCATGGGCTGTGGTCCCCACCACTAGCTGTGGTGGTGATCGTGAAGATGGGGGCAGTGCTTGGGAACTCTTGGGAAGCCTTAGTCCCTTCGCCCTTTTCCCTTGGCTCTTGCCCTCTTGTCTTGGTTTGTTGCTCTCATACTTAGCCCTAGTTGGCCCGACTAAACTACGGGGTGTTACAATATCTCCCCCTTGGGGACATTCATCCTGAAATGATGATCAAGACACCTCTAATAGGAAATGACTCTAGACTGGCCACCTATCATGCATGCAACCCATCTAAATGCACAAAACTAAGGAGGAAACATCACTCCAAACTCAAATATGCTAAATGTATCTCTAGGAAGGTAGGCACTACATCTAACAACCCATTATGCATGAAATTTCAAAAAATTTCATGTTCAAGGAGGAATTACCTTCTCCATACTAAAACATTCTCAACATAATCTCATGGAGTCGATATGCATTCTATACTCAAAGCATATTTCAAGGAGGAATTTGGTCAACTCCAAGTTACGACATGTTCATCAATACATCTCATGAAGTCTATAGGAAACTCATACTCAATGCACTAAAACTCAAGGAAAAATCATATAAACTCATTTTCTTTCAAAACACAGGTTTTTCATGAACATGTACAACATAGGTAATCATAGGAACACATAAACACACATTACTCCAAAACATAATACAAACCAATATGAACTTATCATCTCAAGTTAAAGGAGGAGTAGAAGGAAAAAAAGAGGATATCGGGACATCACGTCGGATTTAAACACTTCCCACTCTACAAGACCCGCTCCTACCGGCCTTGCCTCTTTCCATTGGTCGTGCCACACTTGAGCAACAC